TTCCAGTTCCAAATTCCATCATTGTTCCTTTCAGCAGTGAAAAAGGAAAGAGAAGGGTTCCAAAAGGGAGCCAGAAAGTCCCAAGAGGGTGAAAGGGCTCTCAACTATTTGTTGGTTGTTGTTGTTAACCACCCTGAACTCAATCTCGACCCATGGCGACCCTGTGGATGAGACAACTCCATGACCCATGTCCTCCACTGCTCTGCCTAAGTCCTCCAAATTAAGTCCCTTGACTCCCTGATTGAGTCCATCCATCTGATGTGAGGTCTTCCTCTTTTTCTACTGCTTGCTACCTTTCTTAGCATTAGCATTATTATTTTTTCTAATGAAACATGCCTTCTCATGATGTGTTCAAAGTACGACAGCCTCAATTTGATCAGCTTGGCTTCCAGGGAGATGTCAAGCTTGATCTGTTCTAGCACCCATTTGTTTATCCTTTTGGCCATCCACTGTATCCTCAGCACTCTTTTTCAGCACCACATCTCAAATGAATTGATTTTCTTCCTATCTTCTTTCTTCACTGCCCAGCTCTCCCATCCATACACGGTGATGGGGAACACCACGGCTTGGACAATCCTAACTTTACTGCTCAGTTGTATATCTTTTACTCCTTAGGATCTTGATTAGTTCTTTCACAGCTGCCTTTCCCATTCCTCTCAACTCTAGTGTTCCAAAAAGTGATGGATGAGGATGTGGAGTGTTTCAGGCTGCCAAGAAAACGTCCTCCAAAAGTGTGTGCCAGTGGGAAGGGATGGGTATGTTCTCCTGATCTGTTGCACTGAAGCTGCTTTGCTTCCCCCCCCCCCCCCCTTTCCTCCTCCTTCTCTTCCACCATCCATTTCCAGTGGCTGGCTGTTGTTCTTTCAGTTTGGGTTAGAGAGCAAGGCTGAAGTTATCCTGACGTTTCTGGGAGGAGATCCAACAAAAGAAAGTGGGAGTGAGGGATAAGAGCAAGAGGGAGGGCAGGAGAGAAAAAAAAGATTAGTCAGGTCAGGGAGATTTAGGTGAGGAGAAAGTGTTTTCTCAGTCTCCCCTTTGCCTCTATGTGTGCATGTTTCAGTTCTGCCTGGAAAATCTATTAGCATTGATGCTTTGGCTCCCGGGAGACAAAGGAGCTCCACTCCACAGAGGAGGAAGGGACTGATGGGGAGGATCAGGAAACTTTTTCTCTTTTAAAGAGAAGCCCAAACCTTCAGCATCAGCAGCCACAGCGCTCTCAGGGTCAGCAAAATGTGCCTCTCTGGGGCTGCTCAGGAGAAAAGGCAGAACCAAGGCTAGATGGAGAGAAGCAAAGATCCGTCAAGACATTCTCCTCCACTGCTCCTAACTTGGTAAAGAAAGAAAGAAAGAAAGAAACAAGCAAGAAAGAAAGAAGCAAGCAAGCTTTGTTGCACAACTGCACAGTGAGCTGCACATTCCCTGAAGGAGTTCCTTTTGTCGTAGGAAAAATAGATATATATTCTGTGGTCGGCATCCCATCTCGATGGCAAAGCTGTTGGTATAAAGAAAGGTTCTAGAAAGCAACACTTTTGAAAGAAGACGTTTGCTGTGAGGGTAAGTCTGGACACCACTTTGTTACTTTTGTAAACTGATGCGCGCGCACACACGTGTTTAGATTATTTAGTAACTTGTTTAGAACAAGCTTTTGTGCACTTCAAGCCACTTCCTCAGATACACACATCAGCTGACATCTCAAAAGCTTCTGGTGAAATAAATTGGGAAGTCTTTCAAGTCTTTCGTGAGACTCTTTATACTGAAAGAGACTAGACTGACTCTCTCATGTGTGTCAATGTGTAGTTGTTCAAGGTGTAGATTTAACAGCTGTTAGGTCCTTGGGGTATCAACCATTGTCCACTGATTATTACTGCAACCTTTTTTCTTTTAAGGCTGTGTTTAGACAGAGTGGTTTCCTGACATATTCCTTCAATCCTCATGCACACTGAAAGAGCACCAAAGAGCCCTGATGTCATAACTGAGTCAGGCAGTCTCCTTAGCCATTGAGACAAGCTATGCTAGATCCATTCCAGACATGGCTCTAACCACACCTTTGCCCAGCCTCTATTACTGAATTTTATTGGGGAGGGATACAGGCAACAGTACCTCCCACTTTGTAACCCTTCCTTGTTCTTTTGCCACTTCTTTTTCCTTACCCCATAAAATCCATTAGCAATCCTTCTAATTGCTAACACGAGGCACCCTCTATTTGGAAAAACTTTCCGATGCTTTCTTTTTTAAAATGGGGCAAATTTGGAGAGGCTCGCCAACAGAAATTTTGAAGGGTGTTGCAAACATTTAAATAAGATTGGAAACATTTCTCTTGAAGAGGACTCATGGGTGAGAGCATTGGATGCATGTAATTTATATCAGTACCAGTATTCAAGGCAGCTGATGGCTTTCATATCAGTTGAGTGATGAATCCACTGTCATTTGAGTCTGAATTTTAAGGGAGCTATCTGTTGTGCTGAACCATGTTCCCTAAATAGTGTCACCACTTTGTGTAAGTTATTTAAAGTTTGGATTAAAACCTGGAACAGATTCACTGTCATAACCACCAACCGCCACTACCAATATTTCAGTAACATTCTTTTCTCCCTCCCCACTTTTATTTTTAAAGTGAGTCTCACCATGAACTGGACACCGGTTTTGAGCTTTACAATACTGTGGGCAGCATGGCTAGTGTGTGGCTCACAAAAGCCATTGAGGCAAGCTGATAGAGGGAGTCTAGGAGCCAGAAAAGTGCCTCTGGCCCACCAGGGAAGCAGTACTAGCAGGTTGGCTTCACAGACAAGAAGAACTGAAACATCTCACAGACTAGTATACCCTTCTGGGAGGTTTCGCCAACGCCCACTTGTCAAAAGGGATTCTTTGGAGCCCAAGAGCCCACAAGCAGGCACCATGGTAGAAGCATCTCCTGCTCAGGTGAAGAATGGTGGGACTCAGTTTCAGCCAATGCAGAGACCTAAGTCAGAAATGGTTAAGGATGAAGGTGCATCCACAACATTTCGGTCGCGCATGGTGCGTTTCCCGTCTGGATCCAGTTCTCCCAACATTCTAGCTAGCTTTGCTGGAAAGAACAGAGTCTGGGCCATCTCTGCTCCTCACTCTTCTGATGGTTATTATAGGCTCATGATGAGCCTGCTGAAAAATGATGTCTACTGTGAACTGGCTGAGAGGCATGTGCAGCAGATCATCATGTTCCATGAGGCTGGTGAGGAGGGTGGCCAAGTCAGGAGGCTCACCCCTGAAGGGAAAATTCAGGAACAGCCTCTAGATCCCAGCCTCATTCCCAAACTCATGAACTTCCTGAAGCTAGAGAAGGGGAAATTTGGTATGGTGCTGCTGAAGAAGACACTGCAAGTTGAGGAGAGATACCCCTACCCAGTCAGACTGGAAGCTATATATGAAGTCATTGACCAAAGCCCCATCAGGAAAATTGAAAAGGTCAGACAAAAGGGCTTCATACAGAAGTGCAAAGCAGCAGGAGTAGAGGGCCAGGTTGTTGAAGAGGGCAACAATGGTGATGGTAGTAGCTCTAGAGCAACACCAAGTGGTGGGCAGACCCAGACTTTCTCCAGGAAAGAAGAAAGCAGGAAGAGCAGTGTCCAGCCAACAAGGGTTAAAACTGCAAAGAAAGTTGTAGCAACTACAGTGCCAATGCCTCCCCCTGCAGCCCCTACAACTAGAGCCGCTACCATTCCTCCCTCAAGCACAACTTTCAGGCCAGTCACCGGAATAGTGACAATCGCAAGCAGACCTACAACTACCACCACCATCACTCCTCCTGTTACACAGAGAACATGGACCACAAAATCACACACATTGCTTCCCACAGCACCTGGGGCTACTCCTGCTCGGGTCACAGAGAATTTCTTCTCTCCCGTATGGAAAGAGAACCATAGAGAAAGGCATCCAGGCCACACACAGAGAAAACCAACAGCAGCTAGGAGACCCAATAAAGCTGTTCATCATGACACTTACACCGAGATCCCAACAGCCTCCCCAGAGCACTACACGAGGACAAGTGCTGGCCGATACCGAGACAACCGCACTGACAGGAAGGACTATAACAGCAGGGATCCCAGTGTCACATCAGGTCAACACAAGCCTGCTAAAAGCAAGCTACCTAAAAAGAAAGCCCAAGACAAACTGCTGAGCAATGAATACGAGGATAAATATGACTCAGGGCAGCCTGCTGTTCCTCATTTAGAGGAAGAGGTGCCAGTGAGGAATATCCCACCCAAGAAAGGGAAAGATCCAAAGAAACACCACCGCTTGGATAAAGCCGAAAAGAAGAAGAAAGAAAGAGTGGACAAGAAAAATGAGAAGCAGGCCAAGAAGGACAAAGCTGCAAAGAAAAACAAGCAAGAGAAAGAGCGTAACAAGAAAAACAAGAAAGCAAGCAAAACAGACAATGAGGGAATCCTGAAATCCAATGCCAAGTCTTTCACACAAGCATCCAGGAAATCTGTCACCAACCTTTTGGATTTCTTTGAAGGCAAAAGACGACTCCTGGTGAGTAGATTATACATGAATAACACTTAAAGTCTGTCTATAAGTTAACTTCATAATGAGTCCCTATATTTACAGAATACCCTCCTCCTGTTTTAATTTGGTTAACCAAAAGAGGCAACCACTGTACGATTCTGAAAAGCTGTGGTGACTTCTTGACCCCCATTTCCTTTCTTTTAAAGTATTGCTCTTCATTTGCTAGCCTCTGATTTTCCCAAATTGTACTCAGGGGAAAGCAGATGTCACCACAGCAAGCGTGTTCTGGAAGAAAGGCTGCTGAGAGGCAGATTGTGTAGTGGTAGCAGCACCAACATAGGAGTAAACTCAGGAGGGCTGAGAGAATGGTAAACATGCTCTGCAAACTGGTGTCAAGTTGTCATCTCTTGTTCTCCCATGGAGTATATATTTTCTTATCTTTTCATGTAGAAAAACAGTACTAATATAATATTCCAGAGGAGGAGATGGAAGAAAAATGGGAGGGGAGGCTAAGGGCCAGCATGGCATAGTGGTTTGAGTGTTGGACTACAACCCTGGAGACTAGGGTTCGATTCCCAGCTCAGATATGAAACCCATTAAGTGACCTTGGGCAAGTCACATGCTCTCAGCCTCAGGGGAAAGCAATGGCAAGCCTCCTCTAAACAAACCTTGCCACAACAATCCTTTTATAGGGTTGTTATAAGTCAGAAACAACTTGAATGCACACAACAACACATTTTAGGGATCAGAGTTTGCCTACTTCAGGGACAACTGTGGTTCACTGCTAATCTGAGCCAAAGATTAATCAATTAGTGCCAGTCCCACGGAACAGAAAACAATAGGATAACAACCTTTGGAAGTTTTTAAACAGAAGCTGGATGGCCGTCTGTTGGGTGTGCTTTGATTGTGCATTCCTGCATGGCAGAAGGTTGGAGTGATTGGCCCTCATGGTCTTTTCCAACTCTATGATTCTGAGAAGGAACCTTCAAGGAGAGAAGCATTTCATTAGAGAGAGAGAGAGAGAGAGAGAGAGAGAGAGAGAGAGAGAGGCCATTCCTAAATGGAACAAGTCATGAATAAATATTTTAGAAAGATTTTGGCTACTGGGAAGCACATTCCTTGATAATCCAGCATTACATAAAGTGAAGTATATAACTTCCAATTTAATTGAGGAATCCAGAGGATAATGTGCAGCCTCAATAATAAAACAAATTGTTGAATTTTACTTAATGAGGGCCTGAAATCCATTTTCGCAATATCAATAACACATAAATTAAAGAAAGGGTAGTTATATTGAGAGACAATGTGTTGTAGTGGTTTGGGTGTTGGACTAGGTCTTTGGAGACCAAGATTAAAACCCCCACTTAGCCAAAGAAACCTACTAGGCAAGTGTCATTCTCTCAGCCTCCTTAGAGGATGGCAAAGCCAAACCCCTTCTGAACAAATCTTACAAGAAAATCCTTTCATAGGGTTGCTTTAGGGTCGCCATAAACTGGGTGTATGACTTGAAGGTATACAACAGAAGCAGTAATTATTTTATATATTTCCCATAATCAGTGTCTCACATGCTATATCTAGGCATAATTTCCATGCTTCTTTCTGTTGGCATAGCTAACCTGGATCAACTATAATTCTATGTAAGATACAATGTAGGCTCTTAGCCAGATTGGAGATGTTACTGTGGTGTTATTAGATGGCACACACAGTCCAGAGACTTTTTAAAAAAAAACACCCAATTAAAAGTTAATGGTTGCTGATGTACTGTATGGAGTTTATCAAACAGGGAGAAATTGGGACTTTAAACAGTGATTAACTCAAGAAAATTGTGCAATTGACATTAAAACACGATTAAAATGAGATTAACACAAGAGCCATTATCCTGTGAATAACCAGGGAATAACCAGGCAAGAAACAGCAAAAAGTCACTCACAGGAAAATTTCCATGAATGAGTTACTGTTGTTTCTTGCCTGGTTCTTCATGGAATAATGGCACTTTCATCATGTTTTGTCTCAACATCGTATGAAAACCATTTGCGCAGTTGCATGCAAGTGTGAGTTAATCACTGATTCTGCATGGGATAACAGCGCTTTGCACGCTGATGTCGTGTGAAAACCATTCACACAATTGTGGGTTAATCATGGGTTAACAACCATTTATACTTCCGGTCCCTGTCCCCCCCCCCCCCCGGTGTGGTAAACTCTATAGTGTTTAATGATACCACGAGGGGTAATCCCTAGGCTTCAGGTTTTGTCCCAGAAGCTTCAGGGTCTGGGACGATCCTCAACTGGCAATCCTATCCAAGAGGGATTGCATCTTGATCTTTGACAGTTTGTTGAAAGGCAGAGATCCAATGGGTGCAGCTTCATTATGTTTCTAAACCTGTAAAGATTGTACCGAGACCACTGAGGACCTTCACAAGTTCAACCTAGACAATGAAGAAATAGAAATTCTCATACCTGGGATCAAACATTGATAGAAATGGGGACTGCAGTCAGGAAATTAGAAGAAGAGTAAGAATGGGGAGGGTGGCTACGAAAGAACGAGAAAAGATTCTAAAATTCAAAGGTATACAACTCAGCACAAAAGTTAGAATCATACAAGCCATTGTATTTCCTGTTACCATGTCTGGATGTGAGAGCTGGACAGTTAAGAAAGATGATAGGAAGAAAATCAACTCCTTTGAGATGTGGTGTTGGAGAAGACTGCTGAGGATCCCATGGATAGCCAAAAGGAGAAACAAACGGGTCCTAGATAGATCAAGCTGGAAATCTCCCTGGAAGCCAAGATGACCAAACTGAGGCTGTCGTACTTCGAACACATCATGATAAGAGAGAACTCTTTGGAAAAGACAATAATACTGGAAAGGTGGAGGGAAGTAGGAAGAGAGGAAGGCCACATGCCAGATTGATGGACTCTATTAAGGAGGTCATGATTGCAGGAATTAAGCAGAGCAGTGGAGAACAGAGGTCTTGGAGATGTCTCATCCATGAAGTTGCCACGGGTAGAGATTGACTCGAGGGCAGTTAACAACAACAAAAGATTGCACCCACTGAAATGTCTGCCTTTCACATATCTTCTAAAAATATGGAGACTTTCTCTGGGGATTAGTGTCAACAGTAATGAAGAGGCAAATTTAAAATGCACTGAATCTGTTGAAATAGTTCAGGAGTCTGGGATGAATGAGAATTGTCCCTGTTACAAGGGAAGTAAAATGCAAAGGCTAGGTAGGCTAAGAGGTTGAAGTGGAGTATCACCACTTTAATGTGAATGGATTCCAAACTAATATAATGTAAATCCACTCATAAAGCCACTTAATTAAAAGGTAAAACCATATGTGGTGGAATTGACAGAGACATCTTTTTAAAAGTGATGCAATAGAACCTGATTATTTATTTATTTATTTATTTATTTATTTATTTGATGACCCACACACTGACTCTGTAGTCTTGTTAAGGTCAACATTCCTATTGCCTGTCCAAGGGTTTTTTTTAAAAAAAATCTTTAAATATAATGGGTCTTACTTCTGAGTAAGTATGCATAGGATTCCACCAAAATGCTGTTATCTTCTGTATGCTCATCTGGGAATAAGTACCACTGAACAGTCACATTTGCTTCTGAGTAACTGCATAGGATTATGGTGCACCAAAACTTACAAAGAACACCTCTGTATTTTCCAGAGAATGGGGTCACATGTTACAATAACTGGCTTTCTATCTATTATAGTTTGTGACAAGATAAGCATTTTTTTTTTCATTTAAGAAGTGTAACAGTTTGCTTTATGTGCAGATAAAAAAAATGCAATGAAGGCGATCTGAAATAGCAAAAACAGATATTGGAAAAGTTACATTTTGGACTACAATTTCCAGAATCCTATATAGTGGGTATGCTGGCTGGGGTGGTTCTGGGAGCTGCGGTCCAAAAAGTATTTTTTATAAGCTATGAATAACATGATTTCAAGTTGAATGCCCTTTGCCAACAAAAACATCTGGGCATATTGTTTTGTGGCCTTTTTGAAACAGTTTTGGAGAGGGACTGGCTAATGTATGTACAGTTTCTAAATGTTGAGAACTGCAAAGCCAGGGTGTTTTGTTTTTAAAATACAAAATTTAAAATACAAAATCAACACAATTACATGCTAACCAAGTTAACAGAAGAGCAACTCTATGAACTTTGCTGACAAAACTGTTAAAAATATGTTTGCAAATAGATAAGTTCATGCCCAGGAACAATGCCAAAAACCCTTGGCCTGAAGCCACACTCCAGAAGTTATCATCATTACTGTGAACAGATGTCAGCTGGAAGAGCTGGGAGTTCAACACAAAAATAATGACAACACAACCAGGAACTCTAGTACAATGAACACACACATTTGAAGCCAGGTCTCATTTTAATTCTTTGCCCTGAATTAGTAAGTTATAGACTCACAGGGATAGTTTCCTGGGAAGCCTTTGCAAACAATTGAGAAATATTTCATCACATGCTTCTAGGAGACCTATAATTTACCAATCATTATATTAGCTTCCTGCCTTTGGAATATGGCAAAGACAGCCTATATGTCATAATGTATCAATGCTGAACAATGTTCTAGGTTTTCCAAGACGCTTACCAACCCCTGCCATAATAGCAGTTTTCCATCTTCTTACCTGCTATCTATTGCTACACTGGCCCTTGTGCTTCAAACTGAGTAGCATATAGTGACTTCAATATATCCAGCACCTGGGAATAGGACCCCTGATTTGCTATCATACTAATTTATCACATGGGGGACAACTGGAAGTATAAACAGTGATTAACCTATGATAATCCCCAATTGCACTACTGGTTTTCACATGAAGTTGTGTTCAAAATGATATCCTGTGAATAACCTGTTATTATCGCACAAAAGCGCTAATGGTTTTCACACGACATCGGTGAAATGTGATTAAAGTGCCATTAACCCATGAATAACCAGGCAAGAAACAGCAGCAAATCATTCACAGGATTTTCCCATGAATGACTTTTTGCTGTTTATTGCCTGGTTATTTCATGGTTATTCATAGGATAATGGCTCTTGTGTTAATCTCATTTTAATTGCATTTTAATGTCAATTGCACAATTTTCTTAGGTTAATCACTATTTAAAGTCCCAATTTCCCCCTGTGCGATAAACTCCATACATTTTTAAATTTTATAGACACCCTTCCTAAATTCACATACATACATGTGCATTTATAAACAAATTCATTTCTTGTGATATTTCAAACAGCTGCAAATCTCAAGAGACTGGTCTTGATTTTAACAACATTAAGCTGCCTAAATGCCCTAAAGGCAACAGATCCTGTCTGAACTTGGAAGCTAAGCAAGCTTAGCACTGATTAGTACTTGGATGGGAGACTGCCAACAAATACTAGGTGCTATAGGCTATATTTCAAATATTCAGATCCACCTCTTGAGTGTTCCTGGACTAAGAAGACCCTATGAAATTCATGGGATTGCCATAAATTGGCAGGAGGCTTAAAGACACATACACATAAAATCTCAACATTTACAGGAGGTGGTGGTGATTCAGGTTCAGAGAAAGCCTTTAATCAATATAGAAAAGAGTTGC